ATGGATCTTTTCTAAGTCTAGCAATTTGAATAACTACTAATCTGTGTTTGGAACATATTCGTGAAAGTTTTAAGCTTTTAAAGACAATTTACAATCAACTATCCAACTGCATCTAGACTTTTCAGTCAGATTTTAACTACAGTTGAATAATGAAAAACATGTTGAAAATATTTATTGATAATAGTACATTTGTTTAACTTTGAAAATGAGTTCATTGCAATATATAAAACCAAAAGCTAAAAGTACACCAAGAGTCAGATTTAGTATAAACTCAGGCATTACTGGACACATATAAATAGTTTTACATATAGAATTTTTCATGGCATAATAATCTTCTATTCAACTGAGGAATGCTAACATTCAAGGCCTAACTGTACTCATGGTACAGTACTCATTACTGCATGATGTGTTAACCTTTCCTTTTTTTTTTTTTTTGATGGTTTTATCTATCATTCACAGAGGTCTTAATTCAAATTCAATGAAACTAGTGTAAATATTCCAATCAGCTGAGTGTTAGGTACTTCACATGTTTTGTGGTTTGCTGTATTATGAAATGGGCTGATTTCACTATATGTAATTACAAATTGTTTCTGCATTGAACAATAAAATCAGCAACATAAATGATACTATCTGGACAGCAGTGGAAATACAATATCACAGGAACTTCACAGAAGCAGAAACCTTAAGGCAAATCCAGCAGTAAACATGGTGGTCAGTGGCTGAACATGAATATTGGTGTGTGTTGGTTTTGAGTGGCAAGGTTTTGGTAGTGGGGAGGCTACAGGGGTGGCTTCTGTGAGAAGCTGCTAGAAGATTCCCCTATGTCTGATAAAGCCAATGACGGCAAGCTCCAAGACAGACCCACCACTGGCCAAAGCTGAGCCAATCAGTGATAGTGGTAGCGCCTCTGGAATAACATATTTAAGAAGCAGAGGGGAAAAAAACAAACAAAAAAAAAAACAAAAAACACGGGGACACAAACAGCAGCTGGAGTGAGGAGTGAGAATATGTGAAAGAAACAACTCTGCAGACGGTCAGGGAAGAAGGAGGGGGAGGAGGTACTCTGGGTGCCAGAGCAGAGATTCCCCTGCAGCCCCTGGTGCAGACCATGGTGAGGCAGCTGTGCCCCTGCAGCCCAGGGAGGTCCACAGTGGAGCAGATATCCACCTGCAGCCCGGGGAGGACCCCACACCAGAGCAGGTGGATGTGCCTGAAGAAAGCTGTGACCCCATGGGAAGCCCATGCTGGGGCACAGGACCTGTGGACCCATGGAGAGAGAGGAGCCCACGCTGGAGCAGGTTTGCTGGCAGGACTTGTGACCCCGTGGGGGACCCGTGCTGGAGCAGTCTGATCCTGAAGGACTGCACCCCATGGAAGGGACCCACGTTGGAGCAGTTTGTGAAGAACTGTAGCCCATGGGAAGGACCCATGTTACAGAAGTTCATAAAGGACTGTCTCCCATGGGAGGGACACCATGGTGGAGCAGGGGAAGAGTGAGAGGAGTCCCCCCCTGAGAAGGAAGGAGCAGCAGAGACAACGCGTGATGAACTGAAAGCAACCCCCATTCCCTGTCCCCCTGTGCTGCTTGGGGGGAGGAGGTAGAGAAAATCAGGAGTGAAGCTGAGCTGAGGAAGAAGGGAGGAGTAAGGGGAAGGTGTTTTAAGATTTGGTTTTATTTCTCATTACCCTACATATGTTCTCACTCCTCTCTCCTACTCAGTTTTGATTGGCAATAAATTAAACTAATTTTCCCCAAGTTGAGTCTGTTTTGCCCATGATGGTAATTGCTGAGTGATCTCCCTGTCCTTATCTCAACCCATGACCTTTTTTGTTATATTTGCTTTTAAATTACTTCCCTAGGGTTCTGTGTAAACCTTTCTGCTTTACTTCTCCTTTAGTACAAAATAGAGCATTGTGCTGCTTTTCACCCAGCCTTATGTAACTTTAAGAGATAGGTTTTCTTCAGATATCTTACTGTGTGTCCATACAAGTCCCAGTCTTGGACTTTATTCTTAGTCTTCATTAATTACATGGAAGCATCTGGGGTCATAGATAGGAAGACTTTGTCCTTGCCTAAAGCAGACCTAAAATATAACAGTTACCATAACCACTTTCAAATTTCATCTCATAACATCATTTTGTCTCGTGACATGGCATCACCATTTTGTAGATTAAGTTAATTTCTTGGCTGATTTTCTGAGTTATATGTGTTAATATTGCAACTCTGTTTCATGCACAGCTCTTTACTTTTCATACTCTTCTCTATATAACTTTATTTGCCTCTTGATTTTATTGCTAAAAAAGCAATCTTTGTTGTCTCTGGATATTTCTTTTCCACCTTCCTCTGTTTTTTCCACTGCTTTTACAAGATGTGTTTGTTTACTTACCATTATTAATTCTAGTGCTTCCATAATAATCTTTCAGTTGCAGGAAGACTAATAATGATTTTTGTGAAGACAGAGTATCAACTGTTATAACACTATTGATTACTTATTTTAAAATATTTCAGAAGTTTTATCCCATACAAATACTATGAGGAAGCACATATTCTTTATCAGTAAAAATGAAGCCTGTATATGATACCAGAACTATGCATAATTACATGAATGAAGGGCAAAATATAAGTAGGCAAGAATTCTTCTGCATTAGACATTGAATAGCTTTCTTTTTGAAGTGTCTAAAAAGAAAAATAACCTTTTATAAACATCTATTTTAGTAACCCCTGAGAAAATCTCATTATGAAAAAGGTATGTAAAGATGGGTTGCTGAATGTAGGATTTCTAAATATACAGCAATATAGAGCACAGACTTTTACACCTGATAATAGTGACAGATGTAATAGCAGCTATAATGAGTATAATAGTTCATCACTGCTACCTTAAAAGAAAAAATGTTAAATGATCCAAACTAAACATTGAATAGCACATTATCTAACGGTATCATTGAATATCATGAGATTCTGAAGATAATGGAATGGTCTCAAAATAGAAAGACTGAGTATTCTGTAACAAGGCTAGTAGTTTTCTTGTAGATCCATGTCCTTTCTTTCTTTCTATGGGGAATTAACTCCCAGGGGTGGAAATACAGAGACAGAGAGAGGAATTAGAAATTAGCATACTTGCCTGGGTGTGGAGCTAGGTGATTAGAGTACTTCAACTGTTTGAAGGCAGAATTGGGATTCAGTAATTAAATTAAAACAAAAAGTATTCTGGGAGGAGGATCAAAATTTAGTTTCTACCCCTTCTAAGTTTAATATTCTAAGCTTCAAGTCTGCTATTATTACTACTAGTTAGTCATAGTCCACACCTTTCTGGTATCTTCAAAGGCTTAAACAGCGCTGGTCACTCTGCTGCACAAAGGTCATTGGGACAGGTTCATATGGACAGCAATTTATTAATAGGACATAGCTAAATTTTAGATGTTTTCATCCCAATTTAGGTGACAGTAGGAGAGACGGAATACCACCCTTTGATATTATCCTATATTTTTCAACAGCTTACTGAGTCATTTAATATTCTCCAGCTCAAGGTTTCCACAAACAGTATCTTTCCTGTCCTACTTTGATCTTTCAGCATAGTCCAAAGTATGCTCCAAAATATTTTTGAAGTACTTTGGGGAAGAGGAGGACATTTAATAAAATGATGTAATTAAAGCATTATCATAATCCATGTGCACTTTAGAGATAGACGAGGTGTATGTAGGTGTGGAAAAATACACATTTACATGTCATTCCACATGCTGTGTAAAAATAAAAACAATGTAAACAAATTACAAAATAAAAATTTTATTTTTTTTTATTAAATGGCTTCCCTTGTAAGATACAGTTTATCCTTTGCAATAATTTTCTCAATTGTAAAAGTCAGTTTAGAGGCCGCTATCTTAAAGTGTAAGATAAATATACTGCTTAAAAAAAAAGCATTCTAGAACTAAAAGGGAGAAAAAACACTACATTTAAGGCAAATTAAACTGTTACTAACTCGAAGCAATTGACAATTTCTAAGGTATTATACATCTCGTGTTTTCATCATTTTCAGTATGACTCCAAGAATAAGCTTCATAATCTTATTTTGTTTTTCTTTTTGTTCTGTAATCAGTCATCTCCGTGCAATAAGAATTGCCAGATATACTGAAGGGCCAAAAAAGGCTTTTCTATGAATTAAATAGTCCTGGAGGACTCTGTAGTCTGGTGGCTTTGACTGTGATACATCAAAAACCTCAAGCACATGATTAAGGACTTTTGGTTTTCAGATATATACTTCAAAAACTGAGGATTTAATTAAGTGTTTTGTTGAGTGAACATAAAAGGGTTGTGGATGTGCTTGTATGTTTTTTTCATGGAAGCCATAATTCACATGCTTACATCTTCGGAATGTCTACTTTTATCATAAATTAATGATAAATCATTATTAGGAAAACATCTATGGTTAAAGCTCATTACTAGAGCTTAGATGTCCTGGTTTACTTCTTAATTTTGCCACAAATGTCCTATCTTTACTTGGTTATCATTAATTTTTGTCAACAGAGGGAAGGAATATGGAAAGTATGCTTTTAAGGTCTTTCTTTTCTATACACAAATACAATGAAATGAACTAAATAAAAATCAAATCTTTAGTAGTAATAGAAACAGGAAAAATCTGACATTAGTTACAGTGGTGTAGTTCTGATCGGTTAATTGGACTTATTCCAGTTTTACATCAGTCTAATTAGATGTAGACCTTGCTTTGTTGTATATTTTCTGTTTTTGTAATGAGGGTTTGATATTCAACTGTATTTGGTGTGAGAACAGAAATATTTTTCTGTTTGAATTCCTAGGCAGCCATGGAAAATACAGAAAAACCTTAAGGAACAAGTGTTCTGAAGCTATCCTCAGTAATGAAGCAGGTGTGAAAGACAGCTCCCGTTTGCCAGGTGAAGCAATGACTACAAAAACAGCAGTTCATATGTTAGCATGCTTTCTTCAACTATGTATTGTAAATGGGCAGGTAATATGTGAGCGGCAAATGACCGCTGAATGGCGAGTGGATCCAAAACCTAGTGTAATAAAATGGACACCAAGGGAAAACATCTGCTCAGACTTCTACACCGAATGCTGGAATATGAATAAAAGTATTACTGGGGAGATCTCAGAAGAAGAAAATCTCAGTATCTCTCAGGTATGCCCCTTACAGCTCCAATTAGGTGACAGTCTCTTCATCTCCTCTGAGCCATCCTTTCAGTCCTATGGAATGAATTTGGTAAACGTCTCCAAGGAAGAGTTTATTAACTGCCCTAAAGCTGGTTTTCTTCAAGAGCAGTTGATTTTTGTTTGCCAGATAAGAGGACTGCACCAAGTTGACCCTAACTGGCTTGGTGTTGGAACTCATTACTTTGCAGAGCTTCATAAGAGAGGCCCACTATTGTGCAGCATGGGCCTTCGTTTGAACGTAACTGTGAAGCAGCAGTTTTGCCAACAGTCTCCAAACGCACCATTATGCTCTGGGCATGGAAAATGTCTGAGCCATGTTTGGGAAAAAGCGTATAATTGCCATTGTTTCTCACAGTATTCTGGAAGATTCTGCCAGAAGTTTGATATGTGCTCCACTAAACCTTGCCACAACAATGCCTCCTGCACTGAGAAATCAGAACTTTCTGGAGATTCTTATGAATGCATGTGTCCTCCACAATTTTCAGGTATTTCTTTTCCCCTCTAGAAATAAATGTTACATAGATAGTACATTTTCCTTAATGGGTAATAGAATTGTGAGAACAACTTGTAGGCACTTGCAGGAGACTGTGCAGTCATTTGAAGACAGTTTATACTTGCTGACATTCATGTGTGCATTGTGGGGAAAAACTGAATAAGTTCTTATCATGCTTCTTTCCCACTTAAGCACAAGACATAGGTAAGCACTTGTGAACTTACAGAAGTAACTGATTTTTTCTCTGTTTGTTCAGCAGTTCAAGTTCTTACACCAAATAACATAAATAATTTGGAGTAAGCTCCCCAAAAAATAGTTAACCAAACTGCTGAAAAACAGCAAACAGTTTTGTTGAAATGAACATTTCATTCAACCTCCCACAAAACCTCTTTTTCAGCTTAAAGACCTTTTAAATTACATTAGAGGAATTTCCAAAATCAATTTTTTTTTTCAATTGAGAATCATAGAATTGTTTAGGTTGGAAAAGACCTTTAAGATCATCCAGTCCAACCATTAACCTACACTAACAAGTCCACACTAAACCAATCAAGGGTAGACTAGACTAAACCATGTCCCCAAGTGCCACATCTACCCGTTTTTTTAATACTTCCAGGGATGGGGAGTCCACCACCTCTCTGGGCAGCCTGTTCCAATTCTTGACCACCCTTTTTGTAAATAAATTTTTCCTAATTTCCAACCTAAACCTCCCCTGGCACAGCTTGAGCCCATTTCCTCTCGTCCTATCGCTAACTACATGGGAGAAGAGACCAACACCCACCTCACAACAACCTCCTTTCAGGTAGTTGTAGAGAGCGATAAGGTCTCCCCTCAGCCTCCTCTTCTCCAGGCTAAACAAGCCCAGTTCCCTCAGCCGCTCCTCATAAGGCCTGTGCTCCAGACAAACACTTAATTAAGTCAAACACTTAATTAGAAGAGCAAGCAAAATAAAATACTTACTATTTTCTTTTAGATTGTTTTGTTCCTTTCAAAAGGAGTGTGCTGAACATACCATTATCACCAAATTGAATATTTCATAATGAAAAAATTCACCTAATTCTATCTAGGAAATATTGCAGTACTTACCCAAAACCCATTGGAGAAACTGAATCTGGTTTTGGATTGGACTACTAGAGAGTACAGCATGATTAGATACATTCTTACTTAACCATTGTCTCCATTTCCTGGAGGAAGAAAAGGCGATGAAGGAAATTATGGGTATATTGTTCCTGCATTCAGACCAATGGAATTCAGGAATCCTTTAGAAAGTACCAGAAATATTCATTCATATCACAAAAAGGATTGTCGTAGCTCTTTCTGTACTTCTGGAGCAGAATTCTAGCGATGTTCGGATGATGGACTGCACTTCTGTGTTCTTGCAATGGTGATGCTATGCTATGTGTCACCTGATGAGTCAGGAGCAAGTGAGGTTCATAGAACACAGAAATGAAGGTTATGTTGCATACAGTTTGCTGTAATTTATTTTTAATTGTTTTCAAACTGCATAATAATTTGGTTACTAATGCATTTGCAAATAGAAGATTATGCAGGTATGAATAAGTCAATGTTATGAGAAAAATATTTTAATAATTATTCAAAGTTTAGTAAAATAGTGGAAAACATTGTTATGCAGTATGTTTTCTCTTTCTTTTATGATTTCTGGGGGGCTGTGTAAAATGTTTTGAAAATAATAATATCAAAAAGTGGCTGGAACTACTTTAATTAAAATTAATGGAGAGATTCACAAGCAATCCTGTTAAAAGCAAAGATCACGCTTAATGTTATTAATAAGCAATGCTTAAAATATTCTGTTAATCTATATGGGATGGTGTTGGCTAATGCCATAATTTTGTACTAGCAGTAGTGGTCCAGCAAATAAGCTGTATGCAAACAAGAAAATCTAGGACATTAAACCATCATCTATTATGGACGTGGCTACACAAGAGTAAAGGAGGAAAAAGTGCCTCCCATAATAAAAAGTCTATTAGAAATTTGAAAAGTTGCTGAAGTGTGAATAAAGTCATAGCAACAATTCAAGTGGCAAGCATAATTATATGGTATTTAGTCCCATATGCTGTAATAGCATAAACAACTTATAACTGGAATTGTAATTTCCAGAAAGATGTATATTAAGAAAAATTCAGTCAAATTGGACTCCACATGAGAAGATCTTTTGTTCACAAAGCTGGAAGAAAACATAAGCTAGATTCTTGTCAAAAAGAAACAAATACTACAGTACTAATAGCATTTCTGCATTTTAAGCTATATGTGTATTTGTAACTATACAGCAGATGAGGCTGAGCACAGTAGCTCATATTACAGCAGCTGAATATCTTTCTGCCTTGCTTTAGAACTTCAACAATTTTGGTGAAAACTAGCAACTAACGTTAGAACAAATACCTATCTATCCATCCATCTATCTATTAAATATGTTTTATTTTACAAGAATAAGAAGAAAAGAGTAAGTATTTTGTTTTGCTTGCTCTGCTAATTAAGTGTTTGGCTTTTCAATTAAAAACAAATTTTGATTTTAAAAATTCCTCTAATGTAATTTAAAAGGTCTTTAAGCTGAAAAGGGAGGTTTTGTGGCAGGTTGAATGAAATGTTCATTTCAACAAATAAATGTGTTTTATTTATTTTATAAATTTGACATTTCAGGAAAAAATACAAATATTTACTGAAGTTCAATGTTCCTATTATCCCTTTTAAATAGGTAAAAATTGTACAGAAATAGTTGGACAGTGCCAGCAACATACATGTTTCAATGGTAACTGCAGCAATGTTACTCCAAACACTTTTCTTTGTGAATGTGACAAGGGCTTTACAGGTAAGAAACACCTTTTTTTTTCTGTCTTACAATAATGGTTTCCTGTGTTATAATAATGGTGTGAACTTTTGCTTTACTGAAACAGTTATTTTAGATGATTGCTGCACAGTTTGCAGTTTTCTCAGATTTTTTTTATAGGTTTTGTAAAACAAAGGAATCAGACTTCCATGTGACTGTTCTAAAATACTCGTGTACTAAAGTAAAACCATGTAAATGGTAGAGGCTTTTCATAATTGGATCCCAACCATTAGTACCTTTCTCCTATTGGTAGAATGACAAAGGAAGACTCATAATCACTAACTCAGTGGTTCTCAAATACACAGTTCGCAAGAATAGGATCAGAAGTCTTGCTGAATGATTTAGAATGATCATGACACTTGTATTCATAATTTCAGCACCCTCTTAATAGATATGCTAGAAAAATAAGATGGAAATAATTTAAAGAGTCAATAATGTCATGATTTAGTGGTGTGTCTTGATTAAAAAAAACAACTCTCAGAAGCTAATCGTTTTACTTATGATGTATTGGACATATAAGATGCTTTCATGAGAAAAACTTGAATCAGAAAATTTATCTAAAGCCATCCTACTGGTAACATTTTTTTCTTGGGGATCAGGATAGCAGCCAAGCTTAAAACACTATTTATTCTTCTACTTCACAGCAGAGATTTACTCGGTTGGTGTAAGAGAAGTAGCAATACTCAGAAGAACATTCTTTAAGAATGAGCCTTAGCTAGCACTTGAATATCCAAGGACAGTAAAACTTTTAAAAATGTCCCTTTCTTAGAAGCATCACTTATCCCTGGCAATCACAGAATATAAATAAATCATTAAATTGAGATGCAGAGTTAAAAGAAAAACAAAACAAAGAATTAAAAAAAAGAAAAAAGCATAAGGGAGTAAGAGGGATCCAAGAGCCAATCTTTATTTTCAGAGTGAAAGACTGAACATTCTTGTTGGCATTTTAGTTAAGTCAGTGTAGAATTGTATTTTTTAAAATGGGATAGACGTGCCTAATTCTAAATTCCTAGTAAATCTGGTTTATATTACTCTCCTTTTCCTCCCTTTCCTTCACTGTAGAGGGCATCATGGTCAGCGACATTCTAAGAAAACTAAAAAAAAACCTTTTTTTTTTCAAAGGAGGAAAGTCCATCAGTAAAGTTTTCTAGAACTAGCTTTTCCCCCATGCATGGTCTATATCTTTTTAGAACACTTACTTCTGTCCTTTTCACCCAAATTGTGCGGGCACATTGCTTATGAAATTTTCCTCACAATAATCTTTTGTATCCTTGCAATTTTGACCTAATGAGGGAGAGGAGGGGAGGAAAGAGGAGGAACGCCCTTCCAGATACAGTAAACCCAAACCCATAATGACATAAAAACAGTTCAATACATTCAGCTCTGGTGGATGGCAGCAATCATTGCAATCTACTCTCCAGGTAGCTGGTAAGGATTGTGAAGGAGAAAAGGAGAATATGAGTGTGAATTAGCTTCCTTTTTGTTCTCCAGTTAACTAAAAGAAAATTGAGAATCCTTTCTTGTTTCTAAGCATAGTAAGTTTCACAGAAGGAGAGGGCAGACTTTCAGGAATTTACCTATTTTTTCCTGCTCTGGTATAAAATACCTCAGGTCCTTCTGTAACAGGAAAGTATGTAGTTATCCTGGTTTCAGCTGGGATAGAGTTAATTTTCTTCCTAGTAGCTGGCATAGTGCTGTGTTTTCGATTTAGTAAGAGAAGAATGCTGATAACACACCAATGTTTTAGTTGTTGCTAAGTACTGCTTATGCCAGTCAAGGACTTTTCAGCTTCCCATGCTCTGCCAGGTGCACAAGAAGCTGGGAGGGGGCACAGCCAGGATAGTTGATCCAAACTGACCAAAGGGCTATTCTATGCCATATGATGTCATGCTCAGTATATAAACTGGGGGGAATTGGCCAAGGGGTGGGGATCACTGCTTGGAGACTGGTTGGGCATTGGTCAGCAGGTGGTGAGCAATTGCATGGTGTGTCACTTCTTTTGCATATTCTTTTAGCATTATTATTATTATTTTCTCTTCCTCTGCTGTCCTATTAAAATGCCTGTATCTCAACCCATGGGTTTTTTTTTTTTTATTCTGATTCTCTCCCCTATCCTGCTGGGATCAGGGGGGAGGCTGAGCGAGTTGCTGTGTGGTGCTTAGTTGCTGACTGGGGTTAAACCATGAAAGTAGTACATCAGCATACCTTGCAACAGGACTGATTGACTAACATACAGTATAATTTTGCAATTATTTTCTAATGAAATCTAGTTGGTTTAACTGCACATTTCTTCCTGTGATCCTGTGTAAGAGTGTTTGCTAGTACTAAGGCAATTTCAAGAACAGTTACCTAAAAAAACCTAACCTATGTGGAAACAGACATTCTTCTATTGTTATTCCATCGTGGCTGTATTGTGTTCTCAGACAAGATGAATTATGAATCTTATATCTTGAATGTTATTCTAAGTGTGTGAAGTTGGCAGCAAATTCAAAACATTCCTCTGTTTTGATATTGAATTTATGCACAGAAAGCAAACAATACCAAGACTGTGCAAATGATGTTTAAGATTTGATAAAGTTTGACACACCTTTTTTCTAAAATGAGGTAAGGCACTGGCAGTAACTAGTTCATATGATCTAAATGAAAGTATGAAATATTCTTGTCACTGTAAATTGATGAGGTGTAAATAAATTATAATAAAATT